CATGTTGTAACAAAAAAACTATATACAAAGCATTTAATTTTTAATCTTACAAAATTCAGATTTGGTGTGTAGACTATCTATCAGTAAGGTAGTTCATTCACACTTCTCCAAGACATTGTGTTCCATCTTACAGACAGGAATTATCTCTGCTTTATCTCTAAGTTTTAGAAACTAACACTATAATCAGTTCTCTCCTCTTCTGGTTCAGTCTTGCACGAGCTTTTGATGTCCTCATCTTCATCAAGCTCAACATCGGATTGGTCGTCTTCAACATCCTCTTCCTCTTCTTCCTCCCCTTCCCCTTCGGCTTGTTCACTCTCAGTCTCCTCGTCCTCTCTTACAGACTGGTAAGATGATAAAACAAACCTAATCAGTATACATATTTACACATACAAATTTACATGTATATGCATCTTTATGGCAATTCAAACAAATCAAGTAAAAAGGAAACAAGTTAAAAATGTCAGATGATAACTGGTCACTAAATTACAGATATCAAATCAAATGAAATTAAAGAGATAAAGGAAATAACTCGCCTGTGACAGCAACTCTTCACCATGCAAGTCCCTATTCTTCAGATTGCCCATCCAAAAAGCACCAGAGCACTTGTTCATGGCCAACATGGCTTTCACACGATACACAAGCATCTCCAGAGACTTTTTCATGGGTGGGACATAGCGTGTTAAACTTGTGTCTTGATTCACCTGAATAAAAAAAATAAGAGGGGAAAATGAGATAATAATGAACAGGGGTTAGAGAAAGAGAGATTATCTTTGTGTGAGAGTGTGTAAGGGTATGGGTGGGTGTGGGTGAGGGAAGGTTGTTCAGAGGTGTACATAGGTATCTTATATGAAAACACTCTTTCATCTATTTGACACTTACTTTCATTGAAAATATCTTTTAAAAATATTTTCACTTACCTTGGAATGAGTGCACACATGCTGAAGAAGTCTTGTTGACGTTTGAAGGTTCTTGAGGAGAGTAACAACTTCTTGATTGTGCATACGGAGGCAGGAGTCCAGGAGGGGCATGGCATTTCGAAGGAAAAGCTCTAGGAATGTACGAGAATACTGCAAGAAACAAAACGGCAAAATAATGCTTTTCAAAATGGTAATAATAAAGAAAAACCCTCAATCTGGCAATAACAATAATACTAATTCATACTGGTATCATCAGAAATAACAATATAAACTACTATTACAAATTCCTCTACTTGGAGTGCTATTATAATTGCGAGTGCCATTATGACTGCTAATTGAAAAGCTTACCTTTAAACATGGTCCAAGTAAATTTCTTGTGTCATATTTCTTTAGTGTTCCAACAAGGGTACAGAAAACCTTTATGGCTGTGCTCCACACATTTAAGCATTCTTCACGATTTGCAGCTGATGCAGGCCCCTCAGCAGCAAGGGCCTTCTTTGTTCCACTCACAAGGTACAACAGCAAGCTTCGGTAGTACATGCCTAAGGTACCCCTTCAAAAATAAATTCATGTGTAAGGATTTACATCTCATTACATTTTGTTTTGGCTAACTGTTTTTTTCTAGAGTGGATATGACAACAAATATGTTGCACATGTGAACATATAAAATGCAAAAATAATGGCCTCTAATCAAATAAAAAGAACAGTTGTAAGTTAGTATGTAAGTAAAAAGAAAAAGCCTTCAAAAGTACATCATAATCAGAATATAAACAAAGACAAGGACATAAGATCGTACTTGTTTAACGTTGGGTATGTCTCTGAACGCGGGTCTCGTCCAGTTTCACTCAAGAACTCTTCCAAAGCCTCACTACAGATTGTGTCCACAAGACCCAGTGGATTGCTACTCTCTTTTAGATATATCTGCCACAAATAAATAAAACGCATTATATTAATCAATATAAGGATTAGTTTATATGAAGAAAAATGAGAGCTAATAGCATCAACACCTGAATAGGTATACATCTTAGCACACTCAGAGACACAACTGTTAATAATCAGTAAAAGGATATTTGATTACACTAACAAATGTTATCCTGTTTACCTGTAGTAGAGAGAACACATGGTGATTGTAAACAGTGCCTCTCTCTCGCTCTCCACCAGTTGAATACCACTCTCTTTTCAATAACTGCTGTAGCACCTCAACTAGTGCAAGAGAGAAGGTATACAATTTAGAATATAAAATAATAACAATAATAACTATAATAATAATATTAATAATAATATTATTACTACTACTACTGCTAATAATAATAACAATATTCAATTTCACAGTATTACACATTATATGAAATTAGACCACATTTACTCAACAAGACATGACAGTGAAATGTATATATATCAACAGGCCTAATCATGTAATGAACCTACCTAATCTTTCCTTTAGGTCACCATCATGCTGCAAAACTGTGAGAGCCACTAGCGCCTGGACAAGCACGACTGCAGTGCCGATACTGACAACAGACGCATGGAAGTTTGAGATATAGCGGAACACCACAGACACCAACTCCTCTTTTCCCATT